AAATCGAAAAAGCCAATCTCGAGATATTAGCATTTGAAAACGCGAAGCGGCGATCCCAATGGCCGAATGGTTAGCGTGTTGGATTGTCACGCGGGCGACCCGGGTTCGATCCCCCATATGACCAAAATTTTTTTTTCATTTTTTCTGCTAGATTTTTCGATGATATTAAATTTTAGACCATTTGGAACAATATTTTATAAATTTTTAAGCATATCTTGCGTAATAAGGGGCCACATGGGGCCAGAATGTCACATCTTTGACGCTTTATATCTCAAAAAGCAGGGACCTTTTGATAAGCGATATTGAACAAAAAATGGTCAGAATAATGTTCTTAACAATATGCATACTTTGAATTTTTGTAAAACGGCCCCATTAAGGACTTATAGGAGTGGCCCCATAACATTTTCATTTAGCATATCTCCACAACAAATAAAACCTTTGAATAAGTGTAGAACAAAAAATCTTTAAAATCATAAGACCGTTCATTTGATATGAAGAAAATAGGGCTGACCCCTCAAATTAGGGGCTCAGAGGGGCCAAAATTCTTTTATCTATAACTCTCTAATGATCAATATTTTGTTATACATTACTGAAGCAAAAGTATTCTTTTTAAGAATTTTCAACAATATATGATAACATTTGGATCATATGTTACGTAATTAGGGATCACAAGGGGCGATAACATCAAATCTTTGACGCTTTATATCTCAAAAAGCAGGGACCTTTTGATAAGCAATATTGAACAAAAAATGGTCAGAATAATGTTCTAAACAATATGCATACTTTGAATTTTTTGTAAAACGGCCCCATTAAGGACTTGAAGGAGTGGCCCCTAAATATTTCCATTTAGCACATTTCCACAACGAATAGAAATCTCTGAATAAGTGTTGAACAAAATTCTTCAAAATCACAAGACCTTTTATTTGATATCAAGAAAAATGGGCTGACCCCTCAATTTAGGGGCTCATAGGCGCCAAAAGTCTTTTTTCTATAACTCTTTAATGATCAATATTTTGTTATACATTACTGAAGCAAAAGTATTCATCATAACGATTTGCAACAATATATGATACGATTTGGATCATATGTTACGTAATAAGGGGTCAGAAGAGGTCAGAATTTCAAATCTTTGACGCTTTATATCTCGAAAAGGGGGAATATTTTGATAAGCAATATTGAACAAAAGATGGTAAGAATAAAGTTCTAAACAAGATGCATACTTTGAATTTTTGTAATACGGCCCCATTAAGGAATTGTAGGAGTGGCCCCTAAATATTTCCATTTAGCATATCTCCACAACGAATAGAAATCTCTGAATAAATGTTGAACAAAAAGTCTTGAAAATCACAAGACCTTTCATTTGATATCAAGAAAAAGGGACTGACCCCTCAAAATAGGGACTCAGAGGGGCCAAAAGTCTTTTATCTATAACTCTTTGATGATCAACATTTTGTTATACATAACTGGGGCAAAATTATTCATCATAACGAATTGCATCAATATTTGATAACATTTTGATATTGTACGTAATTAAGGTTTGCAAGGATCAAAATGCGTCATTTTTTATGCTTTAGGTCTCAAAAAGGGGAGTATTTTTATCAGTTTTATTTAACAAAAGGTGTTAAGAATTCCCTGATTAAAATGAGTAATTTTAAATTTAATGAAGGAAAACTTAAAGTCATTCTCTTTTAACGATTATCTTAGTCAAAATCACATCTCATCTTATCTAGAAATTCAACGGAAGACCTACTCGTTGCTCGCAACGAGATCTCATCTAGTTATTATTATTATTCTTCCAACCGATTTTGTGCACGCGATTTCTCAGAAACGGCTCGGCCGATTTAAATGAAATTTTAATATGTAATAGCTAATCAATCGATCTTGATAGGTTTTTGAACGTTTTTATGACGTCACTTCCGGTCGTGAGATATGGGGAATTTTCTGATTTTAAAATGCAATTTTGTCTTGATTTAGTAGCGAAAACTGCTTAAGATATGAGCTGAAGATTAATTGGAGATAATAGATCATGATTTATAGCGTTGCAGAATCGCCTTTTCGTGCGTCGTCAGTACTTCCGGTCGATACCGGAAGCGAATTTAAAAAACGCAATTTTTCAACTTTTCTTTTTTAATATTTTTGTATTTGATTTGAATAGAGACCCTTTTGCAGAAGCCAAATATGTAATTTGTTTGAAAATCGAAAAAGCCAATCTCGAGATATTTGCATTTGAAAACGCGAAGCGGCGATCCGAATGACCGAATGGTTAGCGCGTTGGATTGTCACGCGGGCGACCCGGGTTCGATCCCCCATATGACCAAAAAATTTTATTATTTTTTCTGCTCGAATTTTCGATATTATTTAATTTTAGACCATTTGGAACAATATATTATAAACTTTTAAGCATATCTTGCGTAATTAGGGGTCACGAAGGGCCAGAATGTCAAATCTTTGACGCTTTATATCTCAAATATGAGGGATATTTTGATAAGCAATATTGATCAAAAGATGACCAGAATAATGTTTTAAGCAATATGCATACTTTGAATTTTTGTAAAACGGCCCCATTAAGGACTCGTGAGAGTAGCCCTTAAATATTTCCATTTAGCATATCTCCACAACGAATAGAAATCTCTGAATAAATGTTGAACAAAAAATCTTCAAAATCACAAGACCTTTTATTTGATATCAAGAAAAAGGGGCTGACCCCTCAAATTAAGGGTTCAGAGGGACCAAAAGTCTTTTATCTATAACTCTCTAATGAACAATATTTTGTTATACATTTTTGAAACAAAAGTGTTTATCTTAAGGATTTGCAACATTATATGATACAATTTTGATCATATGTTGCGCAATTAGGGGTCACAAGGGGGCAGAATGTCAAATCTTTGACGCTTTATATCTCGAAAAGGGGGAATATTTTGATAAGCAATACTGAACAAAAGATGACCAGAATAATGTTCTAAACTATATGCATACTTTGAATTTTTTTAAAACGGCCCCATTAAGGACTTGTAGGAGTGACCCTTAAATATTTTCATTGAGCATATCTCCACAACGAATAGAAATCTCTGAATAAGTGTTGAATAAAAAATCTTCAAAATCACAAGACTTTTCATTTAATACCAAGAAATAGGGGCTGACCCCTCAAAATAGGGGCTCAGAGGGGCCAAGAGTCTTTATCTATAACTCTTTAATGATCAATATTCTGTTATACATTACTGGAGCAAATTTATTCATCATAACGATTTGTATCAATATATGATACAATTTTGATAATATGTTACTGTCACGATTTGTGATAAATGGCATGGAAATAATCCCTCACTGTAACCAAGCTTTGAAAAAGAACAAAGAGTACGTGCAAACAAAAGTTTATTATCGTGCTCAAAACAAGATATAGATCATCTCCACACGCACACAACACACACACCTACAACACTCGCACACAAAAAACCTAAACAAAAAAATAATAATAAACCAAAAAAAAAAATAATAATAGTGTCTATACACCGACTAAAATATTGTCAAACCCGACCAGACGAATATTTCCTCGACACGTGCACAAATCCGTAGATATCTTGCTACAAATGTGACCCCAAGACGTTACCGTATTGTTCGTTCTTTAAACACACAGTCGTTGGTTTAAGTTCCAGTTATCGTTGTGACAAAGTCCACATAAACCCGTCAAAGTCTTAGTACGTAGGATTTCCTCCAACGTTGTAGTAACGACACCCTATAACGTCACACTTACGTTACTTGTATTCACAGCTGGTCGAGCTGGTCACCTATAATAACACATTATTTCAAAGTCTGGGTTTCCATAGTCGGTAATAACGCATTAATAAGGAATAAATGGATATATCGGGTATATTATCTATCACAAATTAAACTGAACAAAGTAATAACTTTAGGAAAAGAAAAACAAACAAACAAAATAACCTAGCTAAGAAAATAAACATTTCAAACTCACCGCTGCCAATGTACTAAAAATACTACAATTTCCACACAGGAAAACTTCTCAAACACACCAAACATTCAGGCCAAATGCACACAGCTTTTTATCTGGAGACCACACAGGTTATACATTTTCACTACGGAAGGACACACCTTCTCCCTTCTACGGCCTGCTCTGAACTCACACGTCGACAATTTTACAAACCGGTCTGACAGCCGTGACCAACTATCCGTAACCATACGGTGAGAAATGAAATTATGGTACGCCATAACCGACACAATAAAATTAAATGAAAATTGTGACAATACCTCCCCTTTTCAGCTTCAAAATTGGAAACCATATTTTGAAAGTAAATTCAAACTAACAATATTTACAAAACATGACGACTCAAAAAGTCTGCGCCCACGTTATCAACACCTTTGATAGCATGAACTACAAAATTGTAGGATTGCAAAAAGATTGCCCAACGCATCAACCTACCATTTGACACTTTTGATCTGTTCAGATAGACCAATGGTTGATGATCTGTCTGCAGAACAAATGTCCTACCGTACAAGTATGCCTGAAATTTTCTCACAGCCCATACAATAGCTAAACACTCTTTCTCAATCACAGAATAATTCCTCTCTCTTTCATTCAACTTTCTACTGGCATATGCGACAGGGAACATTTTCTCATGCTTCTGCAACAAAACAGCACCTATTCCGTAGTCGGAAGCAACGGTTCTGAGAAAGAAGTCTTTGTTAAAGTCAAGGAGTCTAAGTATTGGGGCGTGTAAAAGCAATGACTTTAGATTCATAAATGATCTCTCGTGTTCATCAGACCACTCGACTTTATTTGGGGTACCTTTCTTTGTCAAATCTGTCAAAGGACAAGCAACTGCTGCAAAGTTGGGAACAAACTTGCGGTAATAACCAATCAGTCCCAAGAAAGAACGTACCTGTTTCTTGGTTTCAGGGCGAGGGGCTTTCTTAATTGCTTCAAGTTTGTCATTATTAGGTCGCATTTTACCTTTCCAACTGAGTGACCTAAAAATTCAAGTGAGCTAAAACCTACAAAACATTTAGATGGTTTTGCATTCAGTTTCCCCGACCGTAGTCGTTGTAATAAACACCTAATAGACACCAAATGTTCTTCCCACGTTTCTGAATGAATCAAGATATCGTCAATGAAACTATCGGTATCTTTCAAATCTTTCAACAAAATGCGCATCATGCGATTAAACGTCGCCGCCGCGTTTGATAGACCAAACGGCATTACTTTGAATCTAAACAAACCATCAGGAGTGACTAATGATGTCAGGTCTTTGTCCTCGTCCCTCATAGGAATTTGCCAATATCCCTTGCAAAGATCTACTTTAGTAAAATACTTACTTTGTCCAATTCTAGCAAAAATTTCCTCGGGATCGGGCATTGGTTCGGCATCAAACACTGTTACCTTGTTTAGCTTTCTAAAGTCGATGCATATTCTCTTAGAACCATCAGCTTTCTTGGCAACAACGATAGAGCTGGCGTAAGGGGATTCGGACGGCTCTATGATGTCCATCTCAATCATTTTCTTGATTTCTTCCCTAACGGAATCACGTAAAGCAAATGGAATTTGATACGGTTTGTTGTGAATAGGATCCGTAGTTGTCAGATGTATCTCATGTTGAGCCAAATGAGTAAGATTTGGTAAATCAGACAAAACATCTTTGAATTCCGACAAAATATTTTTGACGTCATCTTGCTGCTGCTCAGTTAGATCTGTGTCAACATTCACATCTTGAAATGTCTCCTTAGCTTCGGAAGGCGGTATCTCTAGAGGGAAATCACTCTCACCTTCTGAATTTTCATCATCTTGGCGTATTTCTTCTTCTATGACAGAACAAGAACTAAGAACTTCGGGTGTACTTACCTCTCTTTCAACATACTTTTTCAAAAGGTTAGCATGGAAAGTCTTGATCTTACCCTGTACATCTACTTTGTAGTCAGCAATTCCACATTTGGAAACAATAGTAAATGGACCCTTCCATTGCATGAGTAGCTTGTTGTTGTCCGTCGGAAGGAGGATTAATACCTTATCCTGAACGTTGAATGAACGTGACCTTGTTTTCCGATCGTAATATTTCTTGTAGCGCTGACTGGACTTTTGTAAGGACTTCCTAGCTAATTCACATGTCTCTTCTAAACGCTCTTTCAAGTCGATGACATACTGATAAGTACTCTTGACTTCTGGGTCTTTTAATTCTTTCGTCCACATCTCTCGTAGAACTGTCATCGGTCCTCGGACTGATCTACCATATAATAATTCAAATGGTGAAAAACCCATGCTCTCTTGAGGAACTTCACGGTATGCGAATAATAAAGGTGCTATATACCTGTCCCAATCCTTGGGTCTGTCAGCAGCCATACGTCTGAGCATTTGTTTAAGCGTTCCATTGAACTTTTCAACTAAACCATTGCAGGCAGGATGGTACGGAGTAGTTGTAAGTTGTGCAATGGAAAGTAAGCGACCTACCTCTTTCATAAGGTTAGACGTGAACTGGGTTCCCATATCTGATAAAATTTCCTTTGGAATTCCAAGTCTAGTGAAGAATTCAAACAATGCCTCAGCCACACGTTCCGTCTCAATGCCTTTGAGTGCGACGGCTTCGGGGTATCTTGTACTGTAATCTACCATAGTGAGTACATACCTGTTCCCACGATCTGTTGCTGGGAAAATTGGACCAATCAAATCTACAGCAACTCGCTCAAAAGGAGTTTCAATGAGGGGCATAGACTCTAATGGAACTGGGAAGATCTTACCTTTGGGTACGGTTCGCTGACAAACGTCACATGATCTACAATATCTTCCTACATCACCTTGTACACCTGGCCAATAAAAGTTAGACAATACCCTATCTGTTGTCTTTCTTATTCCTAAGTGACCAGACAGTACACAATCATGTGCGAGTTTCATAACTGTAATACGGTGTGGTGAAGGAACAACAAACTGTTTGAAAATGTTATTGCTACTAACCTTCGGAGACTGAAAATATCGGAACAAAAGACCATCTTCAATGACAAACCAAGACACATTCTGTTGTCCTGTGAACTTCCTAACACATGTCTTTGCGTATTCCCGATACTTATCTAGTGTAGCGTCCTCATTTTGTGCAACTATCATATCATCTACTGAAGTGAAATTGTCAGTGATACTAGTTACCTTTAATGTTTTGTACTTTTCCTTTTCTTTCTGTACTTGACCTCTTGTCTGTACAGCTAAACCTTCTACCAAGTCTTGTGTATCGTTTTCCTCAACTTCGTTATTTCTTCCGGTGTCCCATTTTGGATCAGGGTCCGAAGGATCTCTGGCACCTTTTATGTTACCTATGATTAAACCATAGACTGGGTTGTTCATACATAGAGCTTTGACCTTACCTGATATGAACGGTGTATGTATGTTGATGTACGCCTCTGGAACTTTCCGGACAGTTCCGTCGATGAGTACACATTCCACACTCCGCCATGTCAGTTGGTCTTGAGATACGAGGCTGGTTTTCACTACAACTCCTGTGCATCCACTGTCTCGCAGAACTTCCACAGGATGATTACCTACATACCCATCTGAAACTGGCATATTATGACAAACACGACAAGCTCCACCAATGACCGGTAACATATGCCCACAACGTAACGTAACTTGATTGTCTTGTATGCAACAGTCTTTCAATTTATCTGCCAAAATACACAAAGAACCTACATGTTTACCTGATTCAGTAGATTGGTTTCCTTGTTGATGCTCACTCTCAACATCAACTTTCTGGAGCTGTGACTTTGCAGATCGGGAAGTAGCCTTTGATGAAGAACCAGAGCTTAACATCGCTGCGCTTTTGTAAGTCTGAGAACGATTTCCTTTCTTCAACCTGTCAAAACAATCTTTAGCGATGTGGCCAGATCTACCACACTCGTAACACTTTCTATCATTCTTACCTGTACTTGAGAAAGGTTTCTTTTGAAACGTTGTTGACGTTGACCTCACATCATCAGTCGCTACTTGATAATTTTTGCGATCGTAAGAAAATGAAGAAGTGCCGTGCGCTTCAATAAATTGCTCTGCTAACCGCGTCATTTCTTTAACATCTTTCGGATGACGTTCTCGTAAGAAAGTAGCTAAAGTCTTACTACAACTTGAAATAAATTGTTCACGCAGCATAAGATCTCTTAAGCCATCAAACGTTGATGGGGATTTCGCGAGTTCCATCCATCTTTTCAGATAATTGTCTAAACGCGCGAAAAACTGAGGAGGGTTCTCACCTTTTTCTGGTTTACAACCTCTGAATTTCTCGCGGAAACCTTCTTCGGACATTCTAAATCTCTGAAGCAATGAACACTTGAGCTTATCATAATCAAATGCATCACCAGGAGATAAACGAGAGTAAACCTCAAGAGCAGTACCTGTAAGCAAAGCACTAAGATTTATTGACCATGTATCCTTAGACCACTTAGCATTTTCTGCAAACCTTTCAAACCTTTGTAGATAAGCGTCAATACAGTCTCTTTGATCATTAAAGGGAGGAAGTTTGGGCATCTTGGCACGATTTTGAACAGACACCTCAGGGGACATGGGGGCACTCTGATGCTTAGCACTAACTTCTAATGTCGATGCCTCTGCTTTAACTCTCTCTAACTGAATTTGTTTTTCTAACAATGCCAAATGATTGCTTGATTCTTTCATTTGCATCTCCATGCTCAACTCTTTTTCTTTTCTCTTTGCCTCTTGCTCACATTGTACTATCTGCAAATCTAGTTCTTTCTCTTCTCTCTTTGCCTCTCGTTCCTTTGCTCTCTCTTCTCTCAATAATTTATCTTCTTCAACTTTTCTTTCTGATCTTTCTTTTTCTCTAACATATTCCAACAACTGATCTCCGTGCAGACCTAACTTTTGCCCAATCTCCACTAATTTCTCTAACTCTTTCTCCATTTTCAAAGTTCAGTTAAACAGCGTAAGGATATTTTGATTTAAAATATTTCCATCCCGGACGAGCCCCCAATTGTCACGATTTGTGATAAATGGCATGGAAATAATCCCTCACTGTAACCAAGCTTTGAAAAAGAACAAAGAGTACGTGCAAACAAAAGTTTATTATCGTGCTCAAAACAAGATATAGATCATCTCCACACGCACACAACACACACACCTACAACACTCGCACAAAAAAAACCTAAACAAAAAAATAATAATAAACCAAAAAAAAAAAAATAATAATAGTGTCTATACACCGACTAAAATATTGTCAAACCCGACCAGACGAATATTTCCTCGACACGTGCACAAATCCGTAGATATCTTGCTACAAATGTGACCCCAAGACGTTACCGTATTGTTCGTTCTTTAAACACACAGTCGTTGGTTTAAGTTCCAGTTATCGTTGTGACAAAGTCCACATAAACCCGTCAACGTCTTAGTACGTAGGATTTCCTCCAACGCTGTAGTAACGACACCCTATAACGTCACACTTACGTTACTTGTATTCACAGCTGGTCGAGCTGGTCACCTATAATAACACATTATTTCAAAGTCTGGGTTTCCATAGTCGGTAATAACGCATTAATAAGGAATAAATGGATATATCGGGTATATTATCTATCACAAATTAAACTGAACAAAGTAATAACTTTAGGAAAAGAAAAACAAACAAACAAAATAACCTAGCTAAGAAAATAAACATTTCAAACTCACCGCTGCCAATGTACTAAAAATACTACAATTTCCACACAGGAAAACTTCTCAAACACACCAAACATTCAGGCCAAATGCACACAGCTTTTTATCTGGAGACCACACAGGTTATACATTTTCACTACGGAAGGACACACCTTCTCCCTTCTACGGCCTGCTCTGAACTCACACGTCGACAATTTTACAAACCGGTCTGACAGCCGTGACCAGCTATCCGTAACCATACGGTGAGAAATGAAATTATGGTACGCCATAACCGACACAATAAAATTAAATGAAAATTGTGACAGTTACCCTTACGTAATTAGGAGTTGCAAGGGACAAAATGCTGTTTTTTTTATGCTTTACGTCTCAAAAAGGGGGAGTATTTTTATAAGCTTTATTGAAAAAAAGATGTTCAGAATACCCTGATAAAAATGAGAAATTTTAAATCTAATGAAGGAAAACTTAAAGTCATTTTCTTTTAACTATTATCTCAGTCAAAATCACATCTCATCTTATCTAGAAATTCAACGGAAGACCTACTCGTTGCTCGCAGCGAGATCTCATCTAGTTCTTATTGTTATTTTCTCTCCAAAATTTTGTGCACGCGATTTCTCGAAGACTACTGGGCAGATTCTCATGAAACTTTCACATCTGATAGGTACTGATCTGAACCTTATTGGAAATTTTTTTCGTCGATGACGTCACTTCCGGTCGTGAGATATGGACGATTTTCTGATTTTAAAATGCAATTTTGTCTTGATTTAGTAGCGAAAACTGCTTTAGATATGAACTGAAGATTAATTGGAGATGATAGTTCATGACTTATAGCGTTGCAGAATCGCCTTTTCGTGCGACGTCAATACTTCCGGTCGAAACCGGAAGCAAATTTAAAAAACGTAATTTTTCAACTTTTCTTTTTTAATATTTTTGTTTTAGAATTGGATAGAGACCCTTTTGCAGAAGCCAAATATGTAATTTGTTTAAAAAACGAAAAAGCCAATCTCGAAATATTTGCATTTGAAAACGCGAAGCGGCGATCCCGATGGCCGAATGGTTAGCGCGTTGGATTTTTACGCGGGCGACCCGGGTTCGATCCCCCGTGTGTCCAAAAAATTTTATCACTTTTTCTGCTCGATTTTTCGATTTTTATTAATTTTAGACCATTTGCAACAACATATTTTCAACTTTTAAGCATATCTTACGTAATAAGGGGTCACAAAGGGCCAGAATACTAAATCTTTGATGCTTCATATCTTGAAAAGAGGGAATATTTTGATAAGCAATATTGAACAAAAGATGGTCAGAATAATATTCTTAACAATATGCATACTTTGAATTTTTGTAAAATGGCCCCTTTAAGGACTTGTAGGGGTGGCCTCTTAATATTTCCATTCAGCATATCTCCCAAACGAAAAGAAATCTCTGAATAGGTGTTGAACAAAAAGTCTTTGAAATCACAAGACCTTTAATTTGATATCAAGAAAAAGGGGCTGACCCCTCAAATTAGGGGCTCAGAGGGGCCAAAAGTCTTTCATCTTTAACTCTTTAATGATCAATATTTTGTGATACATTCTAGAAGCAAAGTTATTCATCTTAACGATTTGCAACAATACATGATACAATTAGGACCATATGTTACGTAATTAGGGGTCACAAGGGGCCAGAATTTCAAATCTTTGACACTTTATATCTCAAAAAGGGGGAATATTTTGATAAGCAATATTGAACAAAAGATGGTCAGAATAATATTCTAAACAATATGCATACTTTGAATGTTTGTAAAATGGCCCCATTAAGGACTTGTAGGGGTGGCCCCTAAATATTTCCATTCAGCGTATCTCCACAACGAAAAGAAATCTCTGAATAAGTGTTGAACAAAAATTCTTTGAAATTACAAGACCTTTCATTTGATATCAAGAAAAAGGGGCTGACCCCTCAAATTAGGGGCTCAGAAGGGGCCAAAAGTCTTTCATCTTTAACTCTTCATTGATTAATATTTTGTAATACATTGCAGAAGCAAAAGTATTCATCTTAACGATTTGCAACAAGATATGATACAATTTGGATCATGTGATACGTAATTAGGGGTCACAAGGGGCCAGAATGTCAGATCTTTGACGCTTTATATCTCAAAAAGGGGGAATATTTTGATGAGCAATATTGAACAAAAGTTGGTCAGAATAATGTTCTCAACAATATGCATACTTTGAATTTTTGTAAAATGGCCCCATTAAGGACTTTTAGGGGTGGCCCCTTAATATTTATATGAATCATATCTCCACAATGAAAAGAAATCTCTGAATAGGTGTTGAACAAAAAGTCTTTGAAATCACAAGACCTTTCATTTGATATCAAGAAAAAGGGGCTGACCCCTCAAATTAGGGGCTCAGAGGGGCCAAAAGTCTTTCATCTTTAACTCTTAAATGATCAATATTTTGTGATACATTATAGAAGCAAAGGTATTCATCTTAACAATATGCAACAATATATGATAGAATTTGGATCATATGTTACGTAATTAGGGGTCACAAAGGGCCAGAATGCTAAATATTTGACGAATCATATCTTGAAAAGGGGGAATATTTTGATAAGCAATATTGAACAAAAGATGGTCAGAATAATATTCTAAACAATGTGCATACTTTGAATTTTTGAAAAATGGCCCCATTAAGGACTTGTAAGGGTGGCCCCTTAATATTTCCATTCAGCATATCTCCCAAACGAAAAGAAATCTCTGAATAGGTGTTGAACAAAAAGTCTTTTAAATTACAAGACCTTTCATTTGATATCAAGAAAAAGGGGCCGACACCTTAAAATAGGGGCTTAAAGGGGCCAAAAGTCTTGCATCTGTACCTCTTTAACGATCAATATTTTGTGATACATTACAGAAGCAAAGATATACATCTTAACGACTTGCAACAATATTATATAAAATTTTGGCCATATCTGAGGTAATAAGGGGTCGCAATGGGGCCAAAATGCTATTTTTTGTCATGCTTTACGTCTTGAAAGGAGGGGTTATTTTTTTATATGCCATATTGAACAAAAGATTTTTCAGAAAATCGTGATAAAAATGAGAAACTTTAAATTCATTGAAGGAAAACTTAATGTCATTCTCTTTTAACGAATATCTCAGTCAAAATCACATCTCATCTTATCGAAAAATTCAACGGAAGACCTACTCGTTGCTCGCAACGAGATCTCATCTAGTTATTATTATTATTCTTACCGATTTTGTGCACGCGATTTCTCGTAAACTACTGGGCAAATTCTCATGAAACTTTCACATCTGATAGGTACTGATCTGAACCTTATTGGAAATTTTTTTCGTTGACATCGTTACTTCCGGTCGTGAATTATGGACAATTTTCTGATTTTAAAATGCAATTTTGTCTTGATTACTTAGCGAAAACTGCTTAAGATATGAAGCTAAGATTAATTGGAGATGATAGTTCATGATTCATAGCGTTGCAGAATCGCCTTTTCGTGCGTCGTCAATACTTCCGGTCGATACCTGAAGCGAATTTAAAAAACGCAATTTTTCAACTTTTCTTTTTTAATATTTTTGTTTTAGAATTGAATAAAGACCCCTTTTCTGAATCCAAATTTGTAATTTGATTCAAAATCGATCAAGCCAATCTCGAGATATTTGCATTTGAAAACGCGAAGCGGCGATCCCAATAGCCAAATCGTTAGCGTGTTGGATTGTCACGCGGGCGACCCGGGTTCGATCCCCCGTGTGACCAAAAAATTTTATCATTTTTTCTGCTCGATTTTTCGATATTATTTAATTTTAGACCATTTGGAACAATATATTATAAAGTTTTAAGTATATCTTGCGTAATTAGGGGTCACGAGGGGCCAAAATGTCAAATATTTGACGCTTTATATTTCGAAAAGGGGGGATATTTTGATAAGCAATATTGAACCAAAGATAAGCAGAATAATGTTTTAAACAATATGCATTCCATAAATTTTTGTAAAACAGCCCAATTAAAGACTTCTAGGCCCTTAAATTTTTCAATTTATCATATCTCCAAAATGAATAGAAATCTCTAAATAAGTGTTGAACAAAACATTTTCAAAATCACAAGACCTTTCATTTGATATCAAGAAAAAGGGGCTGACCCCTCGAATTAAGGACTTAGAGGGGTCAAAAGTCTTTTTTCTATAACTCTCTAATGATCAATATTTTGTTATACATTACTGAAGCAAAGGTATTTATCCTGACAATTTGCAACAATATATGATACAATTTTGATCTTATGTTACGTAATTAGGGGTCATAAGGGGCCAGAATGTCAAATCTTTGACGCTTTATATCTCGAAAAGGGGGAATATTTTGATAAGCAATATTGAACAAAAGATGGCCAGAATAATGTTTTAAAACAATATGCATACCTTAAATTTTCGTAAAACGGTCACATAAAGGACTTGTAGGAGTGGCCCCTAAATATTTCAAGTTACCACATATCCACTACGAATAGAAATCTCTGAATAAGTGTTGAACAAAAAATCGTCAAAATCAAAAGACCTTTCATTTGATGTCAAGAAAAAGGGGCTGACCCCTCAAATTAAGAACTCAGAGGGGCCAAAAGTCTTTTATCTTTAACTCTTTAATGATCAATATTTTGTGATACATTATAGAAGCAAAGGTATTCATCTTAACGATTTGCAACAATACATGATACAATTAGGACCATATGTTACGTAATTAGGGGTCACAAGGGGCCAGAATTTCAAATCTTTGACACTTTATATCTCAAAAATTGGGAATATTTTGATAAGCAATATTGAACAAAAGATGGTCAGAATAATATTCTAAACAATAAGCATATTTTGAATTTTTGTAAAATGGCCCCATTAAGGACTTGTAAGGGTGGCCCCTAAATATTTCCATTCAGCATATCGCCACAACGAAAAGAAATCTCTGAATAAGTGTTGAACAAAAAATCTTCAAAATCACAAGACCTTTCATTTAGTATCAAGAAAAAGGGGCTGACCCCTCAAATTAGGGGTTCAGAGGGGCCAAAAATCTTTCATCTTTAACTCTTTATTGATTAATATTTTGTAATACATTGCAGAAGCAAAAGTATTCATCTTAACGATTTGCAACAATATATGATACAATTTGGATCATCTAATACGTAATTAGGGGTCACAAGGGGTCAGAATGTCAGATCTTTGACGCTTTATATCTCAAAAAGGGGGAATATTTTGATAAGCAATATTGAACAAAAGTTGGTCAGAATAATGTTCTCAACAAAATGCATACTTTGAATTTTTGAAAATGGCCCCATTA